TATTTCCTTGGTTTTCGGCCCGACCAGGAGGGTTGTGCAGCAAATCGGCGAGAGTTTCGGAATTCGCCCGAAGGCAAGCAGTAGAGGCGACGATTTGATATCCGGTCGCTTGAACAGATTGTTGAATGCAAGCCCAAACCCTAAAAGGAAACAAGTTGGAAGGTTGTTCGCCTCACAAATCCTTAAAGCCCAGCACCCGTCCTCGTATGGCCTCAAGACGACTTCCCGCAGATACAAATGAAAGCCTCGCATCTTCGCCATGGAAATTTCAGGGGCCCGGCGCTTCTGATTTGTGCGCCGTCTGACTCGTAGCCCGTTTTTCCGGAGGAACACGGAGGCCCATCTCGGTGAAGCCTTGAACTCGCGGTCGCGGTGCCGAAGGCCTTCGTAGTCGCCGTTGAGAAGTAGCCTTTTGGCTATCTGCGACACCCACACCGTGGTCACAGCTCGTCTCTTCTTTCGCCTGCACAGGGGGAAGAAGCGGAACCCAAAACCCAAGTCGAAAAACAATGCTTTTGCTGGGTCAATCCCCTTACAAGAACACGACTTGCTGCATGGGAAGTTCCCGGTCGCCTCTCTTGGACTTGCTTCAAAACCTCGGCCTCAAACTTCTCAAAGCCAGGCCTGGGCCGTGAAGGCTGGGCGGTTGTGGTTCACGTTTTGTGAAGGTAACAAATATATAACCCAAGCTGTACAAGGGCAATACTTGTAATTATACTTGCACTCCAGTTTAGACTATAGATTCAACGAAGGTATGTGCTCTAGGACTTATAACTACCCTGGCCCCTTCAAACCTACTGTGCATTTGCAACTTTGGGCCTCGACTGGCGCTTCGCCATTCGAGCTGTAAAGCCTTTGCGACGACCAACGAGCCTTCGGATGTCGAGCTTTGCTGCCTGCTCGCGGATCTTGCCCTCCTGCTTCTTGCTCCATCGGTGGAGAGTTGTGTAAGGCACACCAGTCACCCGAGCAGCTTCTTCAAGCGCGCCGACAAGTCCAGCGTTCTGAAAGTCCTTTCGAACCCTCTCCAAGGCATCCAAAGCACTGCGTTGCTCCAGTGGCGTGTATCTACGCCGTTTCGCCGCACCGCAGGTCAACTTCTTGCCACCGTCTGACTTCCTTCGCTTCGGATCTGGCATTGCTTCTACATCCACGACAGAGCTGTCCTCGGGAGTTGTTGGAGCGGGCTCGGGTTTCACCTCCGGCTGGACACTTGCACTGGAGGGCATCTGCCCAGAGTCTTCGTGCTCAGCGGGATCTAGCCCTTCAGCTTTCCACTTCCGCTTGGACCAGTAAGAAGTGCTAACTTCACATGCCTGGCGAAGCAAAGCTTTATGCTTCCCGTGTTCGTGCCCATCTCTGGCCTGTACTCGCCCGAATCTTTTCGAGCAAAACCTGCATCCAAATGGCAGCTCAGGAACTGCTTCCAATCCTGAAACTTGAAGTCGTGAGCCGTCTTGTCTTCGCAGCTCCAAGCGCCCGTAGTTGTGCAGTGTTTGCTGCACAGGGTGGCGCACTACATTGGCCGAAGGGGGAGGCGGAGGCGGCGGAGGATCAATAATCTGAACATCGTCATCCTCCAAAAGGCGGTTTATTACCGCCCCGGGCTCTTCCTCCATATTGAGCCCTGGACGGCGTCAGAGGCGCAAGATACGACTCCGATAAGAAATTCAGGGTACCCTAAACCTGGCGGGTATCACTTATGACCCTGAACCGAGCGCTATCTAAATAAGAAATTCAGGGTACCCTGCCTCGGATACAATAGTTTCTTATCCAACGCCGTCACTGTACCCAGTGAAGCCCTTGTGGAGTCAGACCTTGCTAGCATGTCATCTTGATGATGTGAACGCTTGACGGGTCCAATGTAGCACTGCCGGCTCAAGTGCGACGGAGTAGCTTAGAGACCCCAAAAATGGGGGACCGAGGAGGGCAAAAGCGAAAGCTCGAGGAGCTTGCGAAAGGGCTGGGTGACTTGAAGACTGTTCAGCAGCAGCAACAGGAGCAGTTGAACTCGCTGCAAACCCGTGTGGACCGGATCGAGAAGTCAACAACGTTGGTTATCGAACATTCGGTACAGGTGGAAGCAGCATATAAGCAAGCCGAGGATACCCGTGACTTCAAGAGGCTGTCGAAGCTAGCAGCAGAAGCCCTCGGAGCTGAGCTCGGACCGAAGGTCCAGTTGCCGTACCCCCTGCCGACGGAGAGTCCAGAACAGTGGAGCACTGCTGAGGAGGGGCGTCCGCCCCAGGCGGTTGCGACGACGTGGTGGGCGTTCATCACGGCCCTTTTAGTAGGGACGAGATTTGTGCTGCCCAACAAGTTGAGGTCCTGGAGGGACCCCAATACGAACCAGCGTGTGAGATCGCCAGGACACTTCCTGTTTAAGCTTGAGTTCGGGGACCTGTCGTTTGCTGTGGCGCGTGCGCTGCAGGCTGGTTTGGGAGCACATATCAACCAGTGCAATCGTGAGCGCCGTGAGGCCGGTGAAGGAGACCAGTTGACAGTCTTCATACATCGCACAGCTGAGGAGCAGCAGCGCCGAAATCGCAGATCTGACAATTCGAATGGAAACCAAGGTAATCAGGGCAACTGAGGAAGAGGCAGTGGGGGTGCTCGCCGCGGCAAGGGCCGTGGAAAGGGAGGTAAGAACTAAAGGACCCCAAGTGTTTCACCCTTCCTGTAGGGGAGGAGTACTGTAGGTCGACGCATGTTGTACTGTTTTCTTTGGCGAGGTGTTTTGGTAAGTAACGTGTTGTGTGCTAGGTAGCTTGAGGCCCAGCCGCTCGTACACTCTCTTAAACGAACTGGACTCTGCTTGGAGGACATGCAGTCGACACCCTTGTAGTGCCATGAGCCATGTTTTTGACGTTGATGCAGATGGTTTTTTGGAGGTGGGCCGCTTGGCATGTTTAGAGGCGGTGTGTTTATGCAGATCACTGATTCTGGGCGGCTGAACCAAACACCTTACTATCTATCTATCTATCTGTCTTGTACTTCGCTGCAAAGCTTGATTCGCCTTCCAACATATGGGAGGCGTTATGTAGACGAGACCAGTGAGAAGTGTAGTACGATGATGATTTCAGTAACGTCTATAGGATAACGCAGTGAGTGTGCCAGGCGATTATTGCTCAAAGCCTTAGCATGAAAACACCCTTTTTACAGCAGGCCTCGAAAACACCCTAAACCCTAAACCGACATTAAGAGACATGTTGAAGCAAAGGTGCTCATTCACTCAAGACCCCACCTTTGTGACCTACATGTAGATTTCCGAAACAATGCACCTGCTCCAAGTACAGCCGGGCCGAGGCGGACGACGCGAAACGTTTGCTTATTTTTGCCTCCCGCCTGGCTAGGACGAACCTACGATGCAGGGTCTGAGACTGGCAAAAATCAGAAGACAGCCACGTTTGCTTATTATAATTAGTTCACCTCATTTCCTCTGCTTGGTGTCTGAAACACGCTTTTTTGTTTGGCCTTCCGATTCCGGAGCCTTCAAGCTGTGCAGCGTGATTCCCAACAGCTCCGGCCCATCCTTCGGGAAGGCTGTGCGCAAATGTGCGCAAGTCAGGCCGGAGCCTTTTCCTGTTGATTTGAGCCGGAGCCAGCTGCTTGGCTCTACCCCTAAAGGCTGAAGCTTAAGGTATTCACAGGGTGTCCACCTGGCCCTATGACACCAAGCAGCTTGCCTCGAGGACTGTGGCCAATCGTTCACACTCAGCTCGGGCAGCGTCTCTCTTCTCCTTTGCCGGAGGATGCACAGAGGCACCTTGGTTCATCTGTTGTCGCTGTTGTGGTCAAAGCTCTGTTCCTGCCCTTGAGGCCGCCGAAAGAAGCTTTTCTGGGTCGTCACAATGCGAACTCCAAATTATCCCCATGTCCTCCGCCTGAGCCGCCGATTCCGCCAGCTCCTGCCAAACATCGGCTGCTCTTCGTGTGTGCCATGGGCCATGGCTGGCCTTGGTGTTCTGCTTGTCCACAGTAAGAGCCACCCTCGGGGAGGAACGCGCCACTGCACCCCTCATGGAGCTGGGAATGGGCTTGGCTTCTGACTCCAGGTCGCGGAGGTCAGCCTTAGACAAGCAAGAACCGCAGCAGAATAGGGGCAAAACCGAGATCTGCCTGGCCTTTGTCTTCTCGACGTCTGCCTGCGAAGCTCGTACAGCTTCTTGTGCTGCTGCCAGTTGCTGAGCCTCCATGCACATGGCCACTGGCATTGCATCGACGTGTGGCATGGTCCCAGCTCCGTTCAACAACCTTTGACGACGTTTTCGTCCTCTTGCTGTCAGTATGATGCTCCGGTCGCAAATATTGCCACGATTAAAACTTCACCGGACTTCACCGTGTTGATCGTAGCAGCAAAGCAATGCCTGCGCTGTTTCTTCGGCCAGCCGTCTTCTGTCCTGATTGGAAGCCGACACTCTATAGCAGCAGGCAAAGAGAGCCGCAGCTGCCTCCTCCTCTGCCGCTTCTGCTGCTCTGTGTGCCTGCGGACTACAGTTCCGGTCTCGAAGCTCCATGCGCAAATGGGGAGCAAAGTTTGGCGACTTGAGTTGAATGCCTCAGCCTGTGCTTCTGCCTGCGCCACAGCCGCTTGCGCCACGGCCTTGTGGCAGCGGGTACGGGAGCTTCGCTACGCTTCGCTACTGACCTGTTCTGCGGATCCCTGGGCTGGACACCAGCTCTTCCTGGAGCCGTGACAGCTCCGCCTGCGCAGCCTGGAAGTGCTTCCGACTCCAGGCTTCGCCGCATTCGCCGCGCAGCTTCAAAGCAGGGCCTCGGCTGCCTCCCGCAGCATACGCTGAGATTGAAGGCAGGCAGCCTGCACGGGGCCCAGTCGAAGTCGATCTTGCTTTATGCCCACGATACCCACTTTTGCCGTCAGCCTCATCGGCAGCCACTTGGTCGTCCATCTCCTCTTCTGATACAGCAACAAGTCGCAGGTTACAGCTTCATCACTGACACTCGCGCTCGACTTCACTGGACTCTTCGAATCCTGAGTCTTGCTCTTCCGCACGGAGATTTCCACCTATAGGCGCATGGAGAAGGAACTGGATCTGTGAATAGGGCCTTGGAACAGAATCCTGTTGACATCTGCTGGCAGGGCCTTCAGCTTCTCCATTTGCCGTTCCAAGACTGCCGAGCGGTCCTGTGCTGCATGGATCTCTCTCTTCTTCTCCAGGGCATGGGGAGTCGGTTAGACCCCCCGGCCAGTAGGCCCCCCAAATTTAATGGGGTTTTCAGGGGGTGTGAAAAGTATGCATGTAAACCGAAGGTGACTGTATTCCCCCGATCCACTGGATCTCTCTCTCTCTCTCTCTCTGACTTTCTTTCTGCGGGCCTCCGGGGGAGGTTCCCCCCCCTCGCTGTCGCGAACCCCGTTTGGTGCGAAACGAATGGAGGTGGGAAATTGGAGGAAAGGTCACAACTGCTGCTCATCCATGCAGTAGCAGTACGGTACCTCTGTAACATGTGGAACAGGGTCCCCGTACCCTTTCTCCCCTCTCTCATTCGTGTTGCTACAGCTCGGTTGGCCACACATCCAACATGCCTCCGATCGAAATGTCTGAACATCAGTATACTCAGTATTCGCCTTATCTCTGGCTGTCTCTTCTTCTTCCTTCCGCCGGGTCATGGGGGCGAGTAAGGCACCCAGGCCCATAGGGCCCCTCGCTCGCTCTATCTCTGTCTCTCTCGCTCTCTCTCATGCTGCTACGGAGCAAAGGAAATTGGCACTCTTCAAGAGAAACTTACAAAGGTCTGTGCGCATAGAAGGTGCGACAGCAGCTCCACCCTTCCGGACACGGTAAGTTGCTAAGTACGACATCCAGCCTCCGCTTGTCGCTGCCGATCTCTTGCGCCGTCGAGCTCCTGCTATTCAATATTAAAACTCTTCGACTCGTGGCCCTGTTCATCACGGGAAGGAAGGCAAGAGAGTTGAAGCAACGTAAGTAGCCCGTATGGGTGTCATGCTGGCTTGCCCGACACCGCACCCAGGTTCGAACCGCACCTCCTGCAAGTCTGAGATCTGGATGCTTCGCCTGGGCGGGCATGGATGCGAGACCTGCCCCTGCGAACGAGTTACCCTGAGCGCCCTCAGCCAGCCTTGAAAGCTCCATGGTGTGATAGTCACCATCCCTGGGCTCCGCCATGGCTTGGAAGCACTACGGCGAGGTGGGCGTATGCTGGCATATTGGCATGAAAGGGTATGTCTAGGTGGCTTTCGTGGCATCGGCATGCATCGGCATCATAGGCTGCAGGGCTTGAGATGAAAGCGCAGAGAAACCGCAAGTTTTGTATGGGGGGAAATCTGACCTTTGACGCACGCCATGCAGCTTTTGCTCCTGGCTTTGCCAAGTTGCTGGAACCAGTGTTGCCAAACCTGTTGAACCAAGTCGAACCAGGAACGAGTTGAGCGCCAGCTCGCATGACTGTCTTCTCTTGGTCGCCATGTCCTGGTTTGTACAAACCTAGAGGTTCTGAACCTCGTAGGCATAGTCGGTAGGTCAAGTTGGCACGGCACCAGAACTGTACCAAGTACCGTGCCATCGAATCCAACCAGCAAAGCTATCTTCAAGCAATCCCAGGATCAGGTGTTGATGAGAAGGAAAAGAAGGAAAGCGACCAAACAACTGAGCCCGATAATCAGGCAAAGCCTCGCAAAGGCAAGCGGGGCACGTCGAGGAGACGAGGAGATCTCAAGCCACGCGCACACGAGCACTTTCGAGGGAGCGACTGCTTGCTGTCGCTTGTTTTGAGAAGCTTTCCCATGCGCTTCATGACCTTCCAAAGAGCTCATGGGATCTCATGCGATGCGAAACGGGTGTCAATCAACACGCGACTATCGGAGTCTCAAACTTTACAGCGGATTGCAGACTCGTGGCAAAGTTCAGTTTCTCGGCTTCTTTGTCAATATCCTGCGGACCCGATCAATGGCACAGGAGGTAGTTGAATTCACCGCAGACGGCGATGCCTCATCCAGCTCCTCGAGAAGTTTCTGCTGCTCCTTGAGCTCAACATTCAGAATCCTTCCCGATGCAGAAAACGAGGTCAAAGGATGCGAGGGTCGGGAAGGTAGGGGAACAAGTCAAGGCCTTGCAGCCCAGTGTCTGAGCTGTGTTGCCCAACCTCTGCGCACTCAGCGACAGCTCGGTCAGGTCCTCACTGCAACCAGCAGTACCCCTCACCCAATGTCTCATGCATGCGAACTGTGCTCAGGTGCAGCACATGGATGCCATTTCATATGGTCATCAGAGGCATCAGCAATAGTGCAGAGATAGTAGACATGCCGATCGATGCTTCAGGAAGCCAAAGAGCAGTCACTGTCAGACGCGAGTACGAGTTTTTAGAGCAGAGAAGTCTCTCGTCAAGCAGGATCAGACGAAGTTGCTGCCACTACGCTCGAGTTGCTTGGTCTTGCTCTTTCTCTCTCGGACTGTCTTTCTGTCGGAGGCTTTTCGGCTCTCACCCGAGTGGGGTCCTCGTCTTGCCTTGCCATGAGCTGAGCTTGTTGCTGCCTTTGCCTGTCAAGGAAGGCCTGGTTGTCCTGCCCACAGTGTTTCACGCTAAGTTGCAGCTGCATTTCGTGGGCTCCTGCACGGCTCGGCTTTGTCGCTCCTCTCCTGAGACAAATTCAGAAACCCCATGACTACAAGCGCTTGCAACTCGACATTCGGCCTCGCCGATTACTTATAGAACTTCTATCCAATCTTCAAGCAAGCCGCTGGCACGTGCGCTAGAGGCTGCACTGGAAAGCAGGGCCTGTCAAATGAGTCGCAGAACCGCACAAAGTTGCACTTAGCCTTACACTTAAAACTTACTCGGCAAACGTCCCGGGGAGTCTGTCATAGATGCAGTGGACTATGGTTTGGGTGGTGTGCAGGTCGCGCGCTCACTTATTTTATATCTCGGGAGGTTCTCTCAGAAATTATTGGCATCTGTTCTGCAGCTGTCTTCCACCTTCTGGTCGCTTTCCAGCTTTGCCCGTGTCTGTGGCCCGCGCATGTCCTGGCACTTCGATCAACAAGCCAGAATACGGTGATGACCAAACTTCGCAGACCCGCCAAGTCCTTCTGAAGTTGCTCGAGCGTTTGACGCGACTCCGTCACGAAGCGCCGGCGGCTTGCCAGCTCTGCATCGCTGATCTGGAAGGTGCCACGGTTGCCTTCGACCATGCTGATTGTGGCCTTGACAAGAGACTTTGGAACACAGCAACTGCTCACCCTACCGAACCGCTTTTTGTCTCACCTTCTGCCATAGAGCATCCAAAACGAGGACTCCAGCCGAGCTACATGTATATCATCCAAGTCCAGGCTCAGCTGCTCTAGCTCACCTTGCCGACACAGGGAACCTCTGCAGAAGAGACACTGCTAAACTGCGCCTGCGAGCTCGGAGTGCAACTCCTTGAAGCGTTCCGAGCGTGCGGTGTTCTCCGTCTGCAGAAGGCGACGCCACTCCGGGAAAAGGCCTCAAGACTGGAAAGCACTCTTCACTCCTGCCTCACCTGCCCCAGCCTTGGAGCTTCTGCATGGCTTTGGCCACCTCTTCTCTGGCCACATAGTATGGATCACTGGAAGCAGACAGCATGGTCCACGAAAAGCGCCTTGTGTCAGATGAATTGGCTACAGCAATGTGTGTCGATATGGACGAGAAAAGACAGGAGCACAACAAGCATGCTGGTTGGCCTCCCAGCGGATGGCACGAGAGGAAACCTACTTTCTCCTCAAAAGACGTGTGCTTGATTCCTGAGGTGGTGCTCATGCACACACTGTGAGCTGTCTTGTGTTCGAGCACCCGTTCGAGCATGTCTGGAGTCGGCTCTGAAGCTACCAGAAGCATGAATTGTAGCATCTCTGCTTGGGCCGGTTTGAGGAGTCCGGTTGCTGGTAAACGTGCGTACGGGTACCTGTCAAGACGCAAAAGCAATGCGCCCAGTCCTTCCTTGGCACTGGCATGTTTCCAAGTCTTGAAGCAGAGCCGCCGTGATGGTGCTGGACGCTGTACAACTGCACCTAAACCTGGCGCTAAATCTTTACAGTAGGTGGCGTGAGCTGTACATGGCCACCTCTCACCCGCAGCCTACTCAGCAGCATCGTCATGATTGGAGCGGCAACCAAGGTGGGGCCACATTGGCTTCGAAGATTTCCGAAGCGCACGTACGACGTATGCCATGCAGCCGTTCACCTTGTACATGTCGCCACTGCCACACCACGCTGCTGCTGGTGCAGCCACAGATTCAAATTACGAACTGACACTGGGTTCTGCTTTGGCGATGTGACTGTCGGGCGAGGAAAGCGCGTTGGGCAGCCAACGCACTGCTCTCGGCAGAGCCATTCTCATCGCCTTGCTGTGACTGACCCTCCTGTGCCCGTAGCCGCCCCAACAAAACCGGGAGGTTTGTCCTAAACTCAGCCAGCGAAGGTGTTGGCACACAGGTGTTGGGACTTTCGCCTGCGCAAGCCTTGCTGAGTGGAAGCTGGACAGCTTCCGAAGACTTTTCTCCATCCAAGCAGAGGGTCACTTCATCGAAGTGTACAGTCCTTGCACTGGGGACTTTCGGTGCACGCTTCATCGCCTCCTCGGGGAGCCCAAAGGGCACGTGCCTCCGTGGCGTCATTGGCGTATTGGGGGTCCTTGGGCGTTTTGGGCGTTTTGGGAGTCTTTGGCACCTGCAAAGATCTTGGCGAAACTGGCGAGACCACCTGTGCCACTGCCTTGGAAGCCTGCGTCAAGCATCGCAACGAAAGCGCCATCACGAGACCGCTCACTCTGACTATCTGAAGGTTGCACCTGTCTCGGGTTTGAAACAGCTGATGCAGAAGCAACTAGCAGCTGCGCAGCACGCAAGCGCCGCAGAAGCCTGGACACGGGCCGGAGCGTCGCGCTGCATGCTGCATTAAACAGATTTCAGCTGGTTGATATTCTGAGCTAGAGTCAGCAGCTGGAGCATTTACAATGCTAGTAATGAAGACCAGGCAAACTACCTGTGTCATCCTGCCCGACATGAAATCATCATTGAGTCATCATCGACATCGACCAAGTCAAGCCTATCTGCACAACCTTTGGAGCTGCGATGCGTCAACGCCTCTTCGATTTGTCGCTCTGGACTCTCTTGGGTGCTGCCTTGAGAGTCCGAAGCTGAGCCGCTGAGCGCGAAGATGGCACCCATTGGCACCCGGAATCTCTGGCATCTGTCAGAATCTGTCATGCTGTCGACCGTGCTGCTTTTGCAGGGGTATCGGCCACAGCCACACGGGAGACTGAAAAACGCGGAAAGTTGGATCGCGAGCCGAAGCTGGGTAATCAGAACTGCTTAATCTCACGCTTCCTGTCTGATGCTTTAGTGACCTAGCAACGCGGAAGGGAGAGCCCATGGGTATAATTGTAATCGGGTCTTGCTGTGGTTGCTTGGATGGGCTCGGAGGGGGTTGCCGAGACTGGTGTTGGTATTTTTGGTGGCGTCAACACTTCTGCAAACAGTAGTGCACGTCCTAACAGTAGGCTTCTCTCCGAAAGAGGATAGTCCAACCCTTACTGCAAGACTGATTCCCAGGCAGCAGCTGTCGTCCTAGCTGCATCAAGCTGTCAAACAATGTCTCGCCGTTCAGTCATGTGGCAGCTCTCACAACTACTCTAGCTGACTCTAGCTACTCGAGTCACTAGAACCAGCGGTACGAAAACATCTTTCGGATCAAACGCTTGAGCTGCCGCAGCAGCGTCCACCTCAACTCCCAATCGGCCAAGGTCATCATCTTCCGAGCCGGCCGTTCTTGGGCATCTCTGCATGTATGTGGGGTTTGCAAGCATGAAGCCGTTATCGCCTTAAATCAGGTTATTCTACCGTTCGACCTTATGTGCCAGTGAAATCACATTTTGGGGGAGGGAAGTTCTTCTCACAAGCCTCCGCAGTGAGATATGGCAAAATGTGCTGCAAGAGCTCTTGTCTCCGAAACACAGTGTCACGATCACTGGAGTTACTCAGTGTTTGGTTAACAACGTTGACGGTTTTCCGAAGCAGCACATAGCTCTCGCGATAACTTGCAGGCTTTGATGTGCATTGCACCATTCTAAGATCGTGGGCAAGCTGCAGCTCGCATGCTTGCACGAAGTGTGGCGCAAAGTTGCAATATCTGCTCCAGAAGCCAATACCGGTCACGCTTGAGTCATGGCCGTAGCCTTGCGCCTGTCTTCAGTTCAGCTTGCGGACCACTTGCTCTGGGCACAGTCTTGCTGCAACAGCCATGTCCTGAACATCCTGGAAAGACACTACGTCCGGAGCCAGTCCTGTAAAACTGCCTCCCAGAGCCCAGCATTTGGTGAGATAGCTAGAAGTCAGAGGTGTTCTTTGTAGTCCTCGGGTTGCCGAGTCTCAGAAACCAATGACCGCAGAAGACCTGAGACCGACAAGCAAGGACAAAGGGGCAGAATGGCCGTTGTGAAGCTGAGCCGTTCGCCTTTTCACTTTCTCTTGACCGTTGGCCTTCAGTGATGCGATGGTACCATAGAGAGGACATTCGGAAACAGGACAGCATCGGGCCGAGCCCCAGCCAGTTCGGTATTCCACACCCAAAAGGAAGCCGCAGAGCAGTCGTAGCCGTAGCGGTCGTCGTAATCGCAGCAGGAGTAGCGTAGGAGGAGTTGAAACAGGAGCAGGAGCTGGAGCATCAGCGGATGTCGGAGTAGGCCGACGAAGACGATAGTAGCAATGCTTTTCACCGTAGCAGGGAAATCGACAAAGTAATGTACTACTGTTCCAACACCTTAGGACCTAATCGGCCCAGTCTACTCTATCTCATCTGTTGCTATCCTCACTACCCACTTTCCAGAGTTCGCCAGGCGGCTTCAGGACGATGAACTTGCACATCAGCGTCCTGCCATGTGGCCGTAAGATGGCAACAGGCTCCGCGCAGCTTGTGATGGTAAGAGTGGGCCATGGGCTGGTCAATGCAACCGCAGTGGAATGTGCAGTCGAGGCGCTCATCCAAAGTCATCATGGCCCCTGCATTGTCGAACTCGCCACAATAGTTCGGGGCGCTGAACAAGGTGACCTCGGCACTTTGTGCAGAAATCCCAAAGCACTGTGTGGACAACCTGCCGAGCATGCAACGAGGTTTCTCTTGCCGAAAAACTCGTACCTGGCACCAGAGCAAGAGCTGCAAGCTCTTCCCTTCCGCTGTGGTCACAGGGTTCGCAGACAATTTTGCCAGTGGTGCCCGTCTTCAACCACTTGGTGGGCTCGGCAGACGAGGTCAAGGTTGTATCGCTTCAGGAAAGCCGCAACGACGTCGGTCCTGCAAGCACCGTAAATACTCGGCACTTACCATAACTGTGAACTTGCAGTGCAACTTAATCTGGCTACAAGGGGTCCCAAACACATAGGAGACGCCACGGTCGTTCTCAGCCCAGCCGACGTAGTCCCTCCCAGCACTCTCTTGACAAGCCCCGAATCATTGACTATTCTCTTACATGCCTGCCTGTCAGCCTGCTTGCTAAGGGCTTGAGGGCAGCAACCCGCACGTGCAAGCCCGCACCCTGCGCCTCTCGAAGGTGAAGCCTGAGCCCTCTGTTATAGATGAACTTGGCGGCTCTCTGCCGCTGAAGTCTATGTGGCTGGGAGCAACACAGAACCACCAAAGCCTTAACAAGCCGCTGCATCTATACCCGTGACATTGATCGGAAAACCTTCGAAGAGTGAGCAGCTGCTATTTGTTTCGCAATCGTAGCTTCATCTCGCCAATTGGCAGAAGCACCATGACAAAGATGATCCTGAGAGTGTGTCAGAGAACCAGTGAAGAGGTCGTGCCTGTCAGGATCTGACCACAGCCTCGGCCACGGCTAAAATGAAGCAGAAGCTTAAGAATCGCAGCCAGTTACCCAGAGAAGAGAGACCCGGACAGGTCGCAGATCAGGCCGGAGTCCGGCACGTCTGTGGGGCGAACAATCTTCCGAATCTGGCAGAGATCAGACTCGGGAGACTCGGGAGGCCCTCAGTTCCCTCGGCCCTCGTCTTAAGTCTACGATGACCCGCGGATGGAGCAAGAAATGGGGCCTGATCGAAGTGCTGGAGCTCGGGCGAAAGGCCCCCGTGCATGCACATGACTTTCCTCAGGCACAATCCCTCCAGTTGCGCGGAGGCTACATGGATTTGGGACCACACTCCCCAATCTGCGTTAAAACTGCTCAGCTCAGGTTGCGGCTCATCGACCAGGGCACTAACTGGCAGGCAATTAAATACCTCGCTCAAAGTCGCTCACAGTCTTCGAAGGAGAAGGAGAACTCAAGCAGGCAAAGCAAGGGGCTGGCCCCACTGAGCACCGCGCGTCGCAGAAACTCTTCCAAAGCTTGATGTTGAAGCGTCGCTTGCATTCATCATAAAACCCATAGATGCGCGTAATCGACGCACTCTCATGGTTGCCACCTCGAGCGAAGCCAGCAAACGTACAGTAAAGTCAACATGGATGCCAACACATTGAGATGAGAGGTGGTTGGGGGACGAGGGCACCGTGCCAGAGTTGTCTTATTGACATGACTCAAATGCAAATGAATCATGTCTACACTCTACACACGAGGGCGCTGCGAAGCAAGAAAAAGTTTTCTGGATGTAGGGCCTCCCGGTGGGTAGCTTGCACGGCAATGCTGGCTCGCAAATTCAGTGACCACAGCTGTGCGTGAGCAAACTGGCCTTGTATGCAAAGAGGAGCACGATTGTCTCAAGGCTTTGCTTACCTTGCGCACATCCCTCGTGAACGCGACGCAGCTGCGCTTGATCCAGTACATGCCATGCCTCGATCCACGTAGTCGCCAAGAAAAAGATAGTTGCTATTGGGCCTTGGGAATGCGTTTCCCTCAGACTCTCCCTTCGCCTCCAGGCTGCCTGAGCCCTCCGGGGCATGGACGGAAACCCTCCATACTCGAACATTCGAAGCAGGTCGTGAAACTGCCTTACGGCGGGTGCGCGCGCGCATCGTGACTGCTTGTGAAGGCACTCGGCAGCGACCTCACTGTAAAGGGCGCGGCCCATGAACGTCCCCGCAGATGTTCATAGGCGCCTTGTTCTGCTGTGATGGGCATTCACAATGCTCCTTTCGTGCGCTTGCACGGGAGCCTCCAGCTCCAAAAAGGGGCTTTGCGAGAGGAAAATGCTCCGGACCTGGTCAAGAGCTCTGGAGAAGTGCTGCCCTGGGTACCAGATTACTGTTCTGAAATAGATGCAGAAACACCATCAATCTCAGCCCACGCGAAAGATACTGCCACAGGAGCAGGGCTCTGCCTGAAGGCATAGAGCCTTGATCTCCTGCTCCTCAAACCTCAATTCAGGCTGCTCAGGGGTTTCGGGTTTATAAACTCACACGCTCGCACAAGGCAGGCATGGCAGGTTTACGCTCTCACAACTCGGACAAGCCAGGCGAGGTTCATGGGGCATGGCAGAATTGGGTTTAGAGTTTCCGGAGGCTGCTTTGCAGGGAATCCTTTCCTTTGCAAGCACTGAGCGCCGGTCGCAACTGGCTTCCCTGGCTTCGAGCTTCGAGCATCCAAGCACCTTCGTCCGCTATGTCAGGCATAGGATCTATCCGTTTGGGCAGCAAAAGAGGGCCACGATCATGATTGACTGTTCAATGGCGGCGATGTCCGTCACAGCCGCTATAGTGCCGGAAGCAGTAGCAGTTTTACAGGAGATGAGGACAAAGGTAGCAAAGATGATAGCGGATAGGGACTTGTGGAGACGACTTCCGTCACGCCTTTCAGATTTCGAGCATGCACAAGCAGCAACATCGTCCGGGCAATCCCTAGCCCCACCGGACCAGTCAACAACTCCATCATAAACAGCAACACCAGCATCAGCGTCATGGTACTGATCATGATCGCCACTGTGACCAGCACTTGAGGCTGGAATGCCGGAGCTCTCATCTACCGGCCTCTTGACAATCTCTTCGAAATCCGAGCTCGCCATGACCGTGGCCTGAGACAGCACTGCTATGAGATCAGATAAGGCTGTAGAGCATGGCACCTCCCTCGTTCTGGCCTCTGTTGCCGCTCCAATACAGGACCAGCTTCGGTTCGAAAGGCAGCGGCGAAAGGTTCTGCATGTAACGGTGGCCGATTCAATCGAACAGTGGACCGGCGGGCGCTTCACTTTTGCACACGAGCATTCATGCAAGATCCGAGTTGTGGCGTTGGCACGGCCGGCTCGTCTGATCTCAATCCCTGTCATTGTATAGCTATCTACCAGCGTGCTTGCCTGACTACCTTGCCTATCTGTCTATCTGTGCTTAGCTGCGTGGACATGTAGCAGCTAGATGCCCTTGCGGTCCTAGTTTCATGGCGACCAATCGCCCGCTTCCAGAAGTGTCGAAAGGTCTCAAGCCCCTCCATTGACGCCTCCCTGGCAAGTCCGAAGGCGTTGTTGTATCAGGGTCGTTTACGAGCTTTGCAGGCCTTACAAGGGATTGAACGTTGCGAGTCATTAACTCCACGGTATTTCTTGCGTGATCATTGAATCACCTCTGCCCTGCGAGCATTCGAGGTGCGAACTTGCGAATTGACAGCCCTCGCGGTCTCTAAGAGGCCCAATCGTGGATTGCATAGAGCCTGTCTTCAATCCCTGGAAGGAGCTTGTCATTGAGATCGACTGAAGCCGATGGCTCACATGGGCAAGTCCAGATCATCTCCACTTCCAAACCTCAAAAGCCAAATGCAGAGATATGGGGGTTTCCGAAAATAGAGGACCCCAATAGTAACCTAAATAGTAGGATCCTTATTATAAGGACCCCAACATAAGGTACCCCTTATTTTCGGAATCTCCCCCTTTTGGAAAGTTTGATGTGAAGGAGAGAGGGAGCCGAGTTCGAGGAGAGTCCAAGGCTGGAGCTCCTCTGCTTCTGAAACCTCGTGGACACATCTCGTGGTTCGAAAGGTGTCTGCCCTACGAAAGCACTACTTCAGAAGCCCAGCTCCTTTTTTCCTTTTTGGGATATCATGCTGGTCGACGAGTTCTTATAGGTTGATCGCCCTGTGGCATCAAACGATCAGCGGCTCCCTCAGTGGAGAACTTCTCCGGCATCGGAGCCCTCGGCACGGAACTGTGCAGGCTGAACTGCTTAACCATTGAAAACCAACTGCAAAGTCCTCATTCGGATGCCGAGGCTCACAGCAGTGAGGCCGGTATCATGCCAAGCAGGGCCCAAACCCACCCAGGGCCCTCAGAAAGAAATGATACGTGCGCACACACACACACAGACAGACAAAGATGCGAAACACACGAGCATCATCTGCCTCAGAACACATCTGCAACACGAGCCCTTTGACCCTACAGCCCTGTCCCTGCACGTCCAGGCCTCGCCCACACGATGCTCCCAAAGCTGTTTTGCTGGAGCACAGCCCCAATCTTGCCAAGAGTCGACGGCAGCCCTGGAAATCTGGGCACTTGCTTTTCAAAAGCACTTTGTCAGAGGACCCATCTTTGCCAGCAAGCTGCACGAAGCGGGACAGGGGACAGAGAACCTGTCAGACAGAACAGCAGCCCTCTCCACTGTCTCTTGCAGCTTCCATTCCACGCCTCTCCACAGACTCCAAGCGTGATGGGCTCGCCATCACGAACAGCGCGCAACATCCTCTCCCCACCCGGTCCAGCGTAAAGCTCCAAGAGCACAGACGAAGCGTAGCCTGCAAACAACACTGAAACTGAAGACACCCATCAACACCATGTCGGGCACTGCGGGTCAAGAAGAGTTGCCTGGCCACCGATCGTCCTCAGCTAACTGGGCTAGACTTCCGTTTTCTGAACTCCGTTGATCCGGCCACGATGCAACACGATCTGAACTATCAAAGGTTCAAATCCCTCGAGCGCGTTGAGCAGGTACATCATAGTGCCTTTTGTGTCACCGCGCTGACAGAGCATCAACTTTGGCTGTATCCGTAGCCGAGGTGCTGTCATGTGTGGACCACATAACTAGCTTCCGCCCATGAGATGCCATCATGAGCTGGTCCCGTAGGGCATCCAGCCTCCCGGCGTGCCGTCTGAAATCGAGTGGCTGAGGCAGCAAGAAGCGAGGCGCGGACGCCCTTGATGCCACCAGGGATGTCCAGCTCGTGGTGCGGACCTCGGCACTCTCATTTCCCACTCACTGTTCAGAGGCTGGGAGAATGGATATTTCGATATTTCACCGTTCTGATTTCAGAGATATTGCCGCATCGTACCCCTGAAACATACCTCGACCATCCTCGACCCCAAGTGTCCAAGCGTTGGCTGTTTTGCTAGAACCTGAAGCAGCTGTGAGGCGGGGGGCAATCCTATGCCAAGGAACTGCAGCCATTTGCTGCCGCCAGCCCCAGTACAATGCCTGGCTGGTGCAATGGCATCCCTTCTGAAGGCTGAAACCCGATGTCATGCTCTAGCTGGCACATGCCTCATCCGCCAGCTCGTCATCGATGGCAACCGGCAGGGTCAGACCTCCGTACTCGTGCACAAACCTAAAGCAAAGTCCCTTGAACTTTGACTTCGCAGATTGGCTTCGGCTTGGTGCGAATGGAAAGAGCATGATGTCATGCACGATCACTGCTGCTGCCGGCGCTTTCCACACCGCATGTCGGCGATTCGTAGCATCACGCAAGGGCTCCCTCGCCTGCGCAACGTGTCGTGAGGATGCAGTCGTAGTTCATGTGGTGCCATGACACCTTGGGACAAGCGGGACTAGAGGAGGCCAGACCAAGTCGTGTTGGTCCTGCATAAGCCAAGCGAAAGCTGCTTCATGGCACCGGTCGGTTTTTGTTCGGAGGGCCGTCGGAGGGTACGACTGTGTTCGGCCAAAGGCTGAAAGAAAGCGACTTCAGTGCAGCTCAAACTGCAACGAACAAGCTGAGCTGCTTCGGTTAGGCTTCTGGCCAGGCGGCATTTGCATGCTGCAGCCAAGCCGAGGCAAAAGCCTGGTAGTCTTTGTCGGCTTGGATCTCCTGGGCTGATTAGGTCTCCTGAATCGAAGTCTGAGTCTCGGACAGTGCCTGGATCGCTTGAACTGGAGAACCGTCGCAGGGCGATTTGTCGACGTAGCCAGAAAGTTGGAAAGGATCGTCTTTGCCAGAGGAAGTGTGTACAGGAACCTGGGTCGATGCACGATTCTGGACAGAAGGTCCGAACCCGAATGTCAGCTTCTGTGATCACACTCTCCGATCTTGCAACTCAATGTGGGTAAGTCGCTGGAACATCTGCTCGAGACCCAGCAAACAGCTGCGTCGCCAGCAGGTCTGCACCTTGCTTCACGAACGAGCGATGTTTCACTTGCAATGCTGCATTCGCGTCTGGTGCTTAAGTCCGCCTTTGCATCTACACATCATCATGTCTCCGCCATCCCATGTACTGTACAGCACGTGCAGACATGCACCTCTGCATGCAGTCGGACAGACAAAACAATCGCACAAATTCTCAGGACAGGCAGACGAACGACCCGCAACCCACCAAGCAGCACAGAGAGAGCGTCTCTTCTTCAGCGTGGCTCATCTTGCTTGCGTGCTCTTTATTGCGCGTGTCTGTTGAAGGGGTGGTGGGTCGTCAACAAGTCCCCACTGCCATGGGCTCCCGGATGGGCGTGGGGGATTGGGGGATTGGGGAGCTGGAGCTGTCGGTTGCCCGTGTTTCGCAACAAAAAAGCGTCCCGCAGCAGTTTCCAGCGGCAGACACCAATCCAGGCCTGTCGTCCCCCAGATGTGCCTCTCGTGATATCACGGGTAGCTATTGTATTGGGGGGCACCTGCGGTGAGTCTCCCACCATTCGAGATCACGCGTGCGGCTGGTGGGGAAGTCGGGCATTCTTAATGCGCGGACCACCTGGTGACTGAACTCTGACGCAGCGGTGCCCGCGCTAGGAAAGCTCTCAGTCCCAGCATAGCTCGAAGCTGAGCTGCACCGTGTTTGCAGCTTGTAACGTCATGTTGATGGGCCAGGCCGGAGAGAATCAGACTCTGGTTCCGGTGGAATTGCAGCCGCTTCTGGGCTTGCCAGGCCTTTGCACAATGGCGGCCAGATCCAAGGCGCACGGGAGTCTGTTGGCACACTGGTCCCCGAGGTAGGAGTCATCCATGTAGCAGCCCCGACGCCATCTAGAGGAGGTAGTTTCTGGCCCTCGCTTGCAGGGGCTGCTTGCCCCTTGCTGCTGTGTCGGCTGCCTGCATGTGCTCCCCGATGGCTGCGACAAGGACGTGGCTGTCAGGGCATCCCTGGCCCATAGCTAGAGTCAGCTAGAGCTATGGGGATCTTGACGGTATAGACTCGATCACGCCGTTCATGAGCGACTCTACTTCAGCAGCAAGACCAATTCGATCCCCTGCTTTCCAGGCAAAGAGAACTGGATACGGTTGCAGGGTCGAAGGTGGATCTGTCCCCAGAGCAGAAGGATCAGGGAGCTCCATTTGAGCAGGGCAATCGAAAGCGTGATTGGTCGCTTCTGCCCCCACTCGCTCGAAATTAAAATGCCGACCTCTGTCTCTATCTCTTTCACTCTCTAGGGCTCGAGGGACGCATCGCAGTCTTAGAACTCTGAATCTGAAGCGGGTCTACGTCACATGTTACAGAATACTAACCGGGATACCGTACATAAAGTTAGCGCAGACTCTCTCAAGCAGCCGACCAGTCAGTGAAGCCGAAGTTGTGGAGCTTCCCTCTGTTCTTCCGCCGACTCGCATCCACAACATGAAGTCTGGCGTTGACGTATTCTTTGGCAGAAAGAAGCAAGCTCGACTGGCTCATGTGCTGGGAGCTGTTCAAAAGTTGTGCCGCCGCCGCTCCCGCTCTTTCTTTCTTTCGCTGTCTTTGCTTTGCTTTGCTCGGGGTATGAGGAGTGGGCACTCCCCACCCCCCGCTCCTCTGTCTCCCCCTCTTCCTCTTCTTGCAAGGCTTACCTTCATGCGGCATTATAGTCCTTGCGCACGCGGCTAACCAAAAGACAGGATCATGCTCGCGAAAGAGATCTACTTGTTGCATTATGATGCTGTGCCTGGTAAGCAGCACGTGCATCGGGCCACGTGCATAGCTAAGCTCCGGCCTATTCTCACGCTGCGACGTCTGCCGCGATCCCATGAGCCTTTTGCTTTTTCCCTCTTACTTTAGTCTGCTGCTCTTGGTGTGTGAGTGTGCGTGTGTGCGCATGTCAGGGTCATGTCCAGGTGCCTACGTAAGTCACCATATACGCGGGCTTCTGCGCCTGTATCTCCCCACCGGCCAGTGCAAGCCGAGATGCTCGCCAAGTTGCGCTCATTGTCGCAAGCATACAAGTCTTAGAGGAATCGAGGTGGTCTTCCGATATGCAAGACCGGTTCGTGCGAGGCTCCCATGCTCAGGCAATGGCACACACTGTCATTCGTCGGATTCAACTGCTTCCACAAAGCTGTGTGCTGGTAGCTGGCATTGAGCGACCAGGCCAAATTTTTGAACCTGGGCCACCAATCAGGTGAGACTGCAGCCAGATTCAAGGTACAACACACAGTGTCATGCGTCATAGGCAACAGGCCTCAAGATGTGCGTAGCCATAACAGTCAGGTGTTGCGCATACTGCAGATCTGCATTTTCGCTGTTAAAAGGTCCTAACTGTTAGGCAGTTGAGATCAAATCTATAAACAATCTTTGAACGAAGAATATCGCACACGGTTCGTCTCACGACAGGGGCATCGACTCTTTGACCAACGCCACAGCAGGACTGTGACAGCCGAGGGTCTGTTCTGGGGCCTCGTCGAGAAGCGAACCGAGACCACAGCCACCGGGCTCATCGAAGCGCTTCGTGAGCGGCCTGAGCTCAATTGCTGCATTGCATTCCTCTCCTCTGAAGCTTCAAGATTGAACAGTTCAGAGAGCACCCGCCTTGCACCTCCCGCGCTGATGGACACGGGAAGGTTGCCTCAGAATGGCTGGGACGGCGGCGAGACAGGTCAGTACCTACCATCAAGCAGGCCAAGCCGCACCGGAGGGGTGGACGTTCCTGACACGATCAGGATCGCACATGGTCCATCACCCAACAGAGGCCGGCGGCAATTGGACTTATCGCCAATTCCGGCACCGTTTGAAGCAGTGTCTACTCTGCTTTCTATTCAAGTTTTGTCTGCATCGGAGGCACTATTGGGGCATTTCTGCTCTTCGCCCAGCAGCGGAGAGGTGCCCAGAGGGAACGAGCTCCGTGCCTGTGGATGACCTTGTCGGGCATAAACAGCAACTCCCTCATGTGGCCATGGGCGCAAGCTTGTGCCTGCAGCTGGAGTAGCTCCATGCCTTCGACAGGCGGCTGCACCTACCGGTGCGGTTACGTGATCCCATCGCCAACCCCTCTTGCACAAAGTGGCGCACCCATCGAACATCGTGGCCGCAGTACTTTGCAAAGACTTTGCGCCCACGCGAAGCGAAGGAAGCGAAGGAAGTGCCGGAAGCTCCAGCACGCAGGAAGCTGGCGAAGACCAGAAAGCCTGCGAACTAATGCAGCAGTCCCTGAGATTCCACCACATTCCACAGCTGGACCTCCAACGCCGCCGATTCGGCATGCCATTGTCAAGGTCGCGGCGCCATGTGAAACTCGCTAATTTCCTCTCTGGCGCTACATTGGAGCTACATCCACATCGTCGCATGGCATGTCTACGGTATCACGCTCTCCACGACAGTATCTGGGCAGGTTGAGTCTGCCAAGATGTCTACGTGCTGCTAGCAGAAATAATCGCAAGAAAAGCCGGTCGCAGTGCTGCTCCGGCCGAACAAGACGTGAAAGACCAGCAGCTGAAAGAGCCGACGAGCTGAGGACATGGCGTTCGTGGAGAAAGCCTTGCGAGCAACGCAGAAACAATAGAAACAGGTACAATAGAAACCTGAGAAATCCAAAAGCACATGGGGGCAACATGGAACCACTCGGGTCTGCACGCATACAGGCTCTGCTGCCACATCTTGCGCCAAGGCCTCTATCGCACATCGGCTACGCTGTAGAGTGAAGCAGTTTGCCTGAAAGCGCAAATTGGATGAGCAAAAGCCTCCAAGGCTTGTCGCTGATCAAGACGGGGTTGTCGCTCGCCTTCAGATGCTGCCCAAAAACGTGAACACCTTTGCACAGCAGAGGAATGCGTGCGTGCCTCCGCTTGAGCTGCCCGACGAGCTCTGTGCTCGGGCCACCTGCAAACTCAGGCAGATCTTCTCGCATTTTCGAATTTTGTCTGAGTCGCATCGAACCTATGCAGTCCCAGAAGTGCCACCAGAATTGAAATGCAGCGCCTGGCCAGCGTCCTCCTCAACACGAGGCGTGGGTGTCTGGCCTGAAGCGGTTCACTGTTGAGGACATGGTGTGTGGGTTTCGGACCTCAAGAAGTTGGAATCTGATGTAAGCATAATCAGTGCTGGAATTTCTCAAACTAGCTTCACGGCATGAAGAGCATGATGTTCCTATCTGCTGGCTTCCAAACCCTTACACTAGGGTCATGTGCATGAACACATAAAACACAGGCACGCTCGAAATTGCATCTGCGCTTGTTAGGAACACATTATATGCTACATCAAGCATGGATGTATGGGCCGTGCTAGCATGGTATATGCCAGTAGTGCTTTTACAGGAGGACGGGGAGCCAAGCAACAGGCACCGTGCTGGAAACCAACCCATTCAGCTCTACTTTTTTTAAATACATCCATGGCATGCCTTCTGCATACATACGGAAACAGGAGCAATGACAAAAGTGCGTGCGGCATATGCACGTGCATGTATGTCCATGTCTGTATACATACATACACATGTGACATATCATAATATGTGCACACACACACATATATATATATGTAGCGTTGTTTACCTAATCATCTATTTGCTGATTTGCTCATCTCTCACATGTGTATGTATGTATGTATGCATGTATGTATGTATGTATGTATTTTTGGCTCCCACTTGGCAACGTCCGCGGACACTGCATGGCAGGTGTCGAACATTCTGTATGTATGTATGTATGTATGTATGTATACATAAATACGCAAAATACAGCACGATTCACATTTTCGCAAATGAAAGGCGACATGCGCAGTTTTGATCTGGTACTCAACGAATTTCTCAAGCAACGCGGCCGCGCCAGGCACCAGGTGCCCGGCTCCCATGTGAGGACGACCCACTGGCATGGTCCGCGAAAGCCTTTGGGGCGGATCCCAAATGAGAAACCCTTCCCAAAGCCAAGCTTCCAAAACGTATTCAGAACCGAGGAATGATTGCTGCTGCTGGTACATGTTCGTGCATGGGTCGTCTTCGACCTCGGAATCTTTAGTGCGAGTGCAAGTCTCTGAAGCAATGCTTCTAAGCGAGCTGATAAGCGGCCTTCACAACCCCCCTAAATAACTTGCACCGGCAATGGGTCTCCTGGGTGTCAGACGGAGGTAGATCGCAGGATGTCCGACAGGTTTGCCGAGCCTTAGCCGAGAACGGCTCGGCAGAGGGCGCGTGCTTTCGCCATACTGCGCTTATATTATATTATATCATATTATATCATATTATATTATATTATATTTTCTTATCTTATCTTATCGTATATTATATATTGTATTATATTATATTATATTATATTATATTATATTATATTATATTATATTATTTTATTTTATACTATTGTTATTATTATTATTAATATTAATATTATTATTATTATATATATATATTATATTATACTATATTATATCATATTATATTATAGGGTTTCGACACTCACACTCGCACACAGCAGGCAAGGCTCCACATGGTTCGGTCTCCACTACATGGGCCAGGCATGAGACAGCTGCACCCTAGCAACAAACTAACAGGCCAACCCGTAAGGAACCAGCAGGGCTTCGACTCTCACACTCGCACCAGGCAGGCAAGGCTCCACACAGCAGGGTTTAGGGTTTAGGGTTGTTAGTGATATAGTATAATCGACTGTACTTCCATCGTCTTCCTCATCAACCACACCCGCCCTCCCAACTTCATCACATCACTGTCGGAATCCCGATGTCGCTCAGCTTTTAACCAGAATCACCGGAATACAACGTCGAAAACACGAGTCAGCACGCATCGTAATTCCGGTGATCTTCGGGCTGCAGCCCAGGGTTGGGGAAGAGGAGCTCACCTCCGGTCAGCAACCAACCAATCATGATATGCTTCTTCTCCGAAGCTGCAACTGCAACTTGCCCTTTGCGGGCCAAGGGAATGAACTTTTTTGGCGATGTTTTCAAGACAGGTGCCGAGACTTCAGAGGAAACGTGCCGGTGCGGGAGGTCTCTTTCTGATCCTCCCTTTCCGGGGACAGCCTTTAAATCGCACGGCTCTCTTTGGAGTAGGTCCACTCCCAGAGGCTTCTTTCGATTTCCTGCAGCTCCAGCATTGCCGGAGTGCTTCGGAGGAAGCCCCAAATTTTCAAAGGAGGGGCACTGTCCAAGAGTGAAATGGCCATGGTCTGGGGTCGTCGCCCTCCAGAGACCCGACCTCGCAGTTTGTAAAAGACCCTGCCTTGACCCACTGCCTATTCAAACCAACCTTTATACCTTTTGCAACTTCGTGACCGGCTGGATCGATTCACAGGGGAAGGCAAGCAATGGAAAAAGCTTGGCTCTGGTACCTGAGTGGTCAATCTTTCCCCCCAGCGCAAACATACGCGAAGTGCCCGATGTTGTTCGGAACTAGCGGGGGGCGATTGGTCAGCGCCTGAAATTAATTAGGTGAGCCCTGCGAGCGTTGCCAGCATCTTGGAAAGTCACGTTATGGCACCGTTGTGGCCTCCTACGAGTACCTGGCCATGTCTCGGCCGCAGTGTTCCAAGCCTTTCAGCGTCTATGAAGACCCATACCAGCTGGAAGGGGCTTTGGGTCAGTTCAGCGCGATCGCAGAGCTTCTTCGGCACAAGAGGGCACCACCACAGCACTTCAAAAGCTGCGGCGAAGCCCTTGCGCAGCTCTCCCCACGAGGCTGCGTCTCTTTTTGCAGATTAACAGAGAAGTACCCGACATTTTGGGGGCGGCTTTCACGCTCAGGCCGGAGTCGCCTTTCATGACGAAGCTCCTCTGAATCAGGAGAACGAAACACCAAAGGAGCGCTTCCACTTGCTTTCCACGATGTCCTTTCGAGCCACGGCCAAGCACGGCCCGCCATCAGAGCCACGGAAGCAGGTTCAGAGATGTCATTCTCCAAAGGAATCCTGGGGCAAAAAGAGCTTAAGGCCGCTCAAACTCTCGGAAACTCCGCTTCTGCCGTGGCTCTGCGCAGCCATGGCCGAGGCCTCTCGTGAGGGGCCGACGGTTCAATGAGGGATCTCCCCCAAAGATGTTAGCCGATGTTACTGGGTCTGCCTGTATCTTTGTCTAGATGTACACTAAAATTATATATATATATGTATACACACACACAAAATATAAATATGTGAATGTAGGATGTACCCCTATATATATATGTGTGTGTGTGTACTTGAAATATTTTAAGAAATCTAAACATCAACACTTTTCTCAATTCTTAAATCGTCCGGAATTTAAAAAAATCAAAAACTTTTAGATGTAAAAGTGCTTAAAATTTTTGAATCGTCCGGAAATAAAAATATATAAAGAACTTTAAAACAATAAGTATCTGTGGCTGGACCCCATCACCGGCTCCCAGCCTTCAGCTTCAGTGATTCAGCCCGCGGAATTACTTTGGAGAAATTCCAAACATTCTTTAAATTTTCTAAATAGTCCGGAATTAACAAATGTAGAGACGTTAAAAGCTTAAATACCAAAAGTTCGCTAAATAGTTGAAAACCGTCCGGAATTAAAAATGTACAGAGTTTTAAAGCTTTAGATGCGATAATTTTTTCTAAGTTCTTCAAATTTTTAATATCCTTCGGACTTAACACTTTACAGAGTCTAAAAAGTTTACAGAATTTTAAAACTACAAAATCTGCGGGGTTTAGCTGGAGACCTTGGGCTGGGCCGGGGGTCCAGCCGGAGTCCGCGGAATTACATCACCAAAGTTCTTTAAATGCTTAAATAGTCCGGAATTAAACTACCAAAAATTCGCTAAGCAATTTACATCGTCCGGAATCAAATGTGTAAAAAGAATTAAAAATGTTAATACGGTAGTTTCATTGGATTCTTTAAACGTTGAAGAGTCCATGTCCGCTGCCGGAACTGAAACCTGCAGTAGCTGCGAATACGTCTCTGGGATGAAGACGGGTGCAACAACCCCACACACACACACACACACAAAAATTCCAAGCGACATAAAGCCACCGGGAATCAAACCAAGTGGAAGAATCAGTGTAGCCCAGCTTCGCGAGCATATGACTGGACCACTACACGAGCTACTCCCTAAGAGCGGTATCGTCGTCACCATTGTTGAAAACGTCCGGAATTGAACAGTTAATGATATTGAAGACTTTTTCTAGATTTACATTAAGTATTTCTGGGTCTAATCAACCCCAGTCCCAGCCCCTATTCTTCCCCCCACGCCCTCCAGCCCCACTCTCCCCAGTTCCAAGGTTCCAGCCTCCAGCTCTCCAGACTAAGGACCGATTAAACATTTAAACATCTGCAGAATTTTACGACTTTAAATGCACCCACAGCCCCCAGCCCTAGCTCCCGCCACAGCACCCCAGCCCCTCAGCCCAAGCTAGGGCCTGTCTGTGATGGATTGTATACTGAAGTAGAAAGGAAGTAGCCAAATAGACCCGAAAGCTCTCAGCCACATACATATTATATATATATATGTGTGTGTGTGTACATATATATATATATGTTTATGTATTTATTTATTGTTCGATACGGCATCGAGTAGGTATGCATGCATGCATGCACGCAGTAGTTTGTTGGAATGCGAACTCTTTAGATCATACAGTCATATACACAGCTGCTGATTTCTGCTGGAAGTTCAACATGTCTACTCGCTATATGTGATCATGAGCTGGACGAGCTGTGCACGAGGCCTGACGGCTACGAAGCAGTTGCTGGCCAGGCAGAGGAGGAAAAAGGTAAACACCTGGTTGTCGGGCTTTCGCAGTCCGCAGGGCTTGTTTGATGGCTGGGAACTCGAGAGTTCAAGCCAACCTATATGGAGCTGCAAGCAGGAGGCTACCATCCCGATGCCCATGCCGGCCACGGCCACTGTCTTGGCGGCGGGTTGGCTCATCCTTTGGAAGCTGAAGAGCAGAGAAGCCAAACAAAGGTCGTCGAGCTTGCTACGGCCATGAGACAACATGAGACGCCATCAAGTCTCCAAGCTGAAAAAATCCAGTCTGACTGGTCGTGGCTGGCCACGTGAATCCGCCTCGAAAGAGACTGAGTGAGAACCGGCCCTCTCCGCAAGGTGGCACCTACAGCACGAATATCTGGGAGCCCGACCACTCCGGGGTGGGCCCCTCGAAAGGGCTCAGGCGCGGATCTGGTGGTGGTATCGGAGGAACGTCTTCACCGAAGGGGGGGCGAAGGAACATGGCACCGCTCGGCAGCCTTGGCGTGGCGACAGATGTGCATTTCACTCCTTGATTTTCATGCGAGTCGGGCAACGTGACGGTGTAGCACTGGTGGAGAATGTGTCGCAAATCTGAAGCCTGAGCCACCGGAGCTAGAACAGCAGTTTGTTGGTAGCTACGGCCCACGCTGCCACCGCGTCTCTCACCGGTTGCAAAGATCCCCCCAGAAATCCATGGTTTCTGAGTGAGAAAGCCCCCTTGCTTGAATATATCTCCTTTGCTTGAATATATAGCTGTGTTTCCGAAAAATTCTTCAAGAACCCATCTCTAGCTGCGGTACAGGCAATCCTCGATCAAACTCAACTGCAAACAAATTGCATTCTTGATTTGCCGCAGCAGCAGGCTCAAAGGAGTTGGCTCCAACCTTACCAAGTCAAGTAGTTGAAGGGGCATTAAAGACACACGTTGATATCAATATACCCTATGGTGGCTGCAGGTGGCATCGAGCACGCACGCCCTGCCTGCCCTGTGTGCACATGTAATTTTGGCAGAAAAGCACTATCGATTCGCTGTGGCTTCTAGAAGACTGGCAATGACAACTTGCGGATGTGCTGTTGAGGCTTTTCAGGCGACGCTGACACAAAGCTCATGGGATAGTGCATATTCAAGGAGCAAGTAGTCTGCAGAGAAGTCGTCGGAAACATGGCCTGCTGCACGGCTTGACAAGGAGCCCACGCTTCAGACACGGCACATGACTCAGCCGTACGGCCCACCATTTCCCGCTAACTGTCGCTCTCAAGATATCTCTGGCACGAGTCTCAGCGCCTGGAGGCCAGCGATATCGAGCGGAGGCTTGGCTGCACTCCACCAGCCGGGACATGCTGACGCTCCCAGCGCGTCCATTCTTTCCATCCTCGAGCATTGTCATCCTGAGGCCAGCCGTACTTTCTCTCACTGCTTCGACCCTGCGATTGTGTGTTTTGGTTTCGGTTTGTCCAAGCGTCAGATCTTCTTGCCGCCCCTCGTTGTTCACAGCTTTGGCCTCCAGACCTGGCAACAAACATAGATCATAGGTTCCCTGCGAACCTTAGACCCGCGATCTCAAGCTCCAAGCCTCTCAGAGAGACATCCACTTGCCCATACCTCGTGGGGCTGTCGATGAGCAGATCGACATGGCGCACCCGAAATGTAGCCGCGTCCAAGAGGGGATACTTGCCTGTACACGACAAGAGGCTGCCGTCGCTCCGGCTCAAAAACTCCGAGCCACAGCCTTGAAATGGATCAGGTTGGACCCCGCCCACCACATCCAGCCATCTGGAGATGAGATCTTCAACCTTTCGCTGCTTGGCGGCTCAGCTACAAGGCTCTGCTATCTCTAAGAAGCGCCTCCTCCTCACTGCCCGCCGGTTGCTCTGCGACCTCTGCCCAAACGGAATCCTGAACACAGGATAAATGAACTGGGGAGACTACGGGTGCTTTGGCCACATGACTTGCATGTCATGCTGAGAAAGGCTGCGGCCAAAGCTCGATTTCGACTACAATTGGGCTTGAGTCAAGAGCCATCAGGTTGTTCCAGGACACCTGGCAAGCAGCCAAATGCAACGTCGCACCCTGAAGCCATCTCCCTGGCCTTGACATCGCTAATCCAGAACTTCGTGAAATTGAGCCCCGGCGGGGCAAGTGCAATCAAAAGG